GTGCTAAATGCCGACTGTCCCAGGGCTGCACGAATGGGGCCACAGCTGTGCACAGCAAAGATAATCCATTCACCCTTCCGTGACACTGAGAACCAGAGGGAGGACAGGCAGGAGGCAGCTTTGGGTCCAAGCTTCTGAGAGGACAGTGCCCTTTGAGAAGCCTTTCAAGTTTAAAGCTCAGGGGGCTTCGGTGAGCATGGCAGAGGCAAAGGGATAAATACCTACAGACACACACCAGCAGGGCTAGTTACCCTGCAGCTCCTTCAGCCCCACCTCCAATCTCAAAACAACCCCAAGAAAATCACTCCCTTGTAGCCTAGCGGGTGACCCTCAGACTCACTTTGGCCTGGACAACCAAGCAAATACGCTCTAAGGTTGGCTTGCTGTTAGAACGGGGTCTCTCAAAGCTGCCTTTCTGATTCTGATCTTTCTAGAAGGCCAGAGGCAGGGTGGGGTCTTGTCTGGTATCTTTTTCAGGCAATTAGCCACGGCAATGGACCAGTTACGACCCGGATGATCTTTGGTGAACCCTGTAACTTTTCTGAAGCTCGTTGTCCTCCCGTGGGAGCTGGGGGATGTAAGAGAGCTTGCCACCACAGGTTCTTTGAGGCTGGAAAGGTAACTGATGGCAAACAGGGACCAAATAAACCTGGGGGCCAACACTCAGGGCTTAAACACTTGGTGTTATAATCTGCCTCCTTCCCTTCCCTTCCACTACAATGACATTGATTAAATCAGCGTCAACAAGATGACTTAACAACCTATTGATTTGGGCAAGTCAGTAAAAGCAATCTATCATGCTGGTTGCTTGACATTTAGCGGATGAAAATTGACCTTTTCCTTCTCGATTTTCAGGCTATGATGTCATCCACCTAATCCTAAACCCACGGCTTCTGCTGGGGTCAGAAAGAATAATTTATGAGAAGCACACTGTGCATGTGGTGGTGGTGGGGTTGGGGGTGCATAAATAGAGAAGTACAGCCCAAGGCCTTGCATGCTCCAGGGATGCGGCCTGGTGGAGGGAGATGCTTGAAGCTCTTTCTGTGTGTACAGGCCCTGCACGTGCTGTTCTGGGTCACGGGTTCAGGGTCTCCACAGACAGCAGCGTGTTGATACAGTCTGTGTCCTTCCCTTGTTAAGGCATTCACCCGCACAAGTACTGAATCAGGCTGTACTCCAGCCTGCAGCCTGGCTGCCTAACTTAGCCATGGCGGGCTAGCTCCAAACTGTCTGAAGCCTTAGTGATGAAGAACCTTGCCCACCTGAGAAAATTCTACAGAAGGAATGGAGTATAAGACTCTAGGGTGTTGTCTAGCTGCAGGATTCCAGGAATCCCTAAGTGGAAGGCTAATCTAATGGGCTCAACTGGGAAAACCACATAGATGTCTACTGGAATGGACCTCGATAACTTTAGGCAAGGGGACCGTTCCACCAAACCCTGGTTCCTACATGTGTTAAAGATGACGAACAGGTAAGTGACTCAGAGAACGTAGGTTCAGTCCCTACTAGGTTGACACTGACCTAATGGCTTAGGATTCAGCAGTAAAGAAAACGTAACCCAAGACCTCTGCTCCCCTGGAGTGGGTGCCTTCACAGAAACTGCCTGTGTCCTAGTGAGGCACTGACACGCTTAGGGGTGGTGCCCAGGGAAGTAAAGAGGCTGTCTAGAGGACGCAGAGGTGCGGGAAGAGAAGGCAGGCACATTCTGAATAGGGCAGTCACAGTAGGTCTGGGGACAAAGGAGCAGCTGGGCAAAGTTGGGAAAGTGTAGGGCAGGCCATGCAGATAGGACAGGAGGAGCCGTGGAGGAGACCAGACCAGCCAAGTGTGTAGAGGCTCAGGCTGGAGAGCAGACAGATGAGGGCTGGGGAGGGAGGCACTGTCCAGAGCAGTTTATGAAGGGGCAGGGCAGTGAGGAAGAGTAGGAGGCCGGATGAGGCGGGCCTCCAGATTTCAGAAGCTGTTTTCACTCCGAGTTGAACCGGGAGCTATTGGAATGCTCTGAGCAGAAGCAAAACGTGGTTTGAATTACATTTTAAAGTATTACGCTGGCTGCTGAATTCCATTCAGACAGAAGGAAGGCAGAGGATGAAAGGGGAGCCTGGCTAGGAGGCTACTGTCAACAGCCTAGGCCAAGCACAGTAGACGTTCGCATACAGATGTGTGTGCGTAAACACATGTGCATCCTCCATACATGCGCTCGTACTTGCAAACATGTATGCCCATTGTGCACATACATACACGTGTGTGAATACCTGCAAATACATGTACGCCCATTGTGCACATACATACACGTGTGTGAATACCTGCAAATGCATGTATACCCATTGTGCACATACATACACGTGTGTGAATACCTGCAAATGCATGTGCGTCCTCCCATACACATATACGCACAAAATAAAATAAGCATTTGGGCTTGTCTAGCATTGGAGTGACATGGGAAAACCCACTCCCTATCTAAGTGGTTAGAAACCAATAGCAACTCCAGCTGAATGCCAGGGAATGCTTCTTCAAGAGCCACCCAAAAAAATGTGGGGTGTGCACTGCTCCATAAGCCCCACACTCTTGCTGAGCCTTTGGTAGGGAGAGAGAATGGTCCCAGGAGACAGATAAGCTGGGTGACCTGAGAGGCCAGGGAAGACCCTGTGACGAGCCAGGGACCACAGTGGCTGTTACTGTTGTTAGCACTGTTGTCATCAGAATAAGGACTGGTGGCATCGGTGGCAGATCAGACAGCGTTTCCTCTTCCTGTCTCCAGCCTCCCATTGAAGCTGGTCATGTAGATGGCTGACCAGCCGTAGGTCTTCCCACACTGGCCTGGTGTCTCCTGCTTCTCTTCTGCTACCTTTGCCAAGCCCCCAGAATGCTTTTCAGTCTTCTCTTTTCACTGTTGACCTTGAGACTCCTTCACAAGCTCCGCCCCTAATCCTCCAGCCACGGTTGGTCACCTTATCGTGGAGTGGGAGGGACATTTATAAATAATGCACTGAGATCACCCAAAGAACCCCGACAAACAACAAATTCCCCGCAGATTTCTACATCTGGGCCCCACATGGGCTGAAAAGCAAAGTCTGAGTTGAGTCCAGTCACAAGAAATGTGACACCAAGAAGACATGGCTCCACGGCCGGCCAGAATCAGCAATGACCTCACAGCAGTGACTTAGAATATCTGAGCCGGAGGAGGGAGCTGGTCCCTCAGACCTCAGTGCCAGTCTTCTCCTGCGGGCTGAGTACAGGCTGGAACCACCCAGCAGCTGCTGTTTTGATCCCAGCATCTCCCAGCAGTGGGTCAGTTACCATTCCTACAACTCTGACTCAATTGCTTAACTGGACGTGCGGAGCGTGAACGTTGCCTTTGCCCTTCTGTGATTACAAACTATGGCTGGAGTTGGTGGTAACCCTGGGGTGGAGAAAAAGGAAGGGAAGAGGTGGTGGGTCATCCCAGGACCTTGTGGAGACATGGTCTGATCTTTCTTCCCTTGGCCATCCAAGCAATTTCCTTCCCAGCTCTGAGTCACCGCCCACTGCAGAGCACCCTGGGCAAAGAACCAGAACCCTGAGGGACAGGGGTGTGAGAAAGGCGCGCCTTCACTGTGCGCTCCTTGCCCCATGGTGCCTGGGCTTATGAAGAACAGAATGATCCCAAGTCCTCAGGGACCCAATGACTCGGTCGCGGGGCTTCAGAGGGGCAGGAATTCAGCCCATGCTTTCCGCTGACCCAGCATGAGAAGTTGAACGTGAGAGGCCTGGCAGACAGGTGACAGCTCTGGGGACTGAGGGAATGGAGTGTCTAGGGCCTGCATTGTATGTTCACAGAGGGAAGACACAGGAGCCCCAGACAGCGAATAGAGAAATTAGAGTTCGCTTGTGGGGAAGGAAGGCTGCAATCCCCGATGCGCATGCGTCCAACTCCAAAGCCCGGTCCCGGGTTTTCCTCTTCTCGGGCATCAGGGAAGGGTGTTTCCAGGTTAATTCCTTCAGGAGGCAGATGGAGCCAGCAGTCACGTGAGTTCCAGAACAAGGGCTCCTCCAGAAGGAAACACTGGTTTCTTTTCTGACCTTCCCGAATTCCTGGTGGGTTACCTCTGTAGACTCAGCTGGGCGGAGCATCCCCCAGAAGTACTCTCTATTCTAGACGGGAAGTTTCCTGTTTCTTCTAGGAAGGAACTTCTCTATCTTCAGGGTGGCTGTCTTGAGGCTTTGAACTTCCAAAGCCAGAGGCTGTTTATCCAGTGAAAGATCTGCTGTTTGCTAATCCTGATTGCCCCATTATTGCTATAAAACTGGGTCTAGGGATGAGGAGGAAGTTGTGGTTGAGCACAGTGTGCTGTAATTGCATTTTGGAGGGCTTTGTACAGACGGATCTGTTCCTGTTTGTAATCAAATTCTACTCCATAAGATGTGTATTTGTTTGATATCAGTCTAAGGATATTGAAATGAACTGCCTGTTCATTTTTTTTTCTTTTTTCAAAATTTTTCTCTGGAATCCCCTGCCCCCCCCCCCCCCCCCCAGCCTCCTCTCTTGCCCTGATTTCTGTTACAAAAACATTCCAGGATGAAAGGCCAGAAAATCAGCTTTTAAATCTGGCTATAAACCCAATAAACCAACCAGCATCAAGAGCCAGGACACAAGAGCTTTTTGTCCACAGTGACAAGATAACCCCAGAAAAAAAAAACCTGCTCTAGTGCATGGTCAGTGCAGACGGATTTTATAAATAGCGTGGGTTGGGGAGGAGCTCCATTGACCTAACTCCAAAGCAAGAGGCATGATCTGGCCCAAATTTTAAAAATAGAGGACTGTCCAAGAATAATAGTACCTCGCTGGGAAAGACTTTTTAATCTTAGAGAGTCATAAAAAAATAGAAAATAACATTTCTGCCAAGATCTCCAGTTGCACGCAGGGAGTGGCTGGGTTTTATTGGTTCTTCTGTAAACCACGAGCAGACAGGGCTGGCCATGGGTCAAGCAGGCTCAGAAGCCGTGGGACGGTGGAGACATGGAGGCAGTGGAGGGGTCACCACTGAAGATTCACGTGTGACTCGGGACCATGAGCGCACATCCTTTTGGAATTTTATTTCTGGAGTGGCCCTGCTCTGTCCCTGCAGTGCCCTTACAGGTGCCATCCCTCTGACCTTGTCTTCCCCAGCCATGGTAAGATGCCCCCAAACCCAGTTCAGGAGGGTCTTCTCCAGGATCTCACCTTTCTTCCTGGGCGAGTCAATACTACCTTTTGTTTTATGTCTGTGACTCCCTCAGACCGTCTCTCACTGCTATAGTCTTTCTAGTGCATTCGCCCCCACCGTGTGTGTGTGTGTGTGTGTGTGTGTGTGTGTGTGTGTGTGTGTATGGTGTGGTATGTGGTGTATGTGTGTGTGTATGGTGTGTGGTGTGTGTGTTTGTGTGGTGTGTGTATGATGTATGTGTGGTGTGTGTGCACGGTGTGTGTACGTGTGTGTGTGTGTCTTTCTGTAGCCGGGCAGACCTGGAGACGTGCCTTTAGCTGCGGTAGGAAGACCCAGGCTAACACTGGGAGGTGTCATTCCTTGGGCTTGGGTTCTGGCTGCCTGAAAAGGAGGAAGCTTGCTGAGTGCCAGAACTCCTTGCTCCTCCCTTCCTGAGTGTAGATGTGATGTGACCTCGTAAAAGCGCCTCACGTCTCGACTTCCCTGACACAGTGGACTGTACCTTCAACTGTAGGCAAATGACACCTTTTCTTCTTTAAATTGCTGTGTTAGAATATTTTATCATAGCAACAGCAAAAACAGTGAAGATGATGCCAAATCCTTGAGTCCCCAAGGGCATACATGTCCAGCACCCCCGCCTCCCAGCTCATTCTCCTCCTCCTTCTTTGTCCTCTCCCTTTCCCCTTCTTCCCTCCTCCTCTTCTTTTTCCTCTGCCTCCCCTCCATCAGAGATGTTTTCTGTAATATTTTTTCATCTTTTAATTTTTTTTTTTTAGATAGAGCAACATCTCAGTGAACCTGGCAGGCTGGGCAGAGAGTTCCAGGCATTTTCCTGTCTCAGCCTCCCAGTGAAGGGAGGAGGGCAGGCATGTGCTGCTGTGCCCAGCTTTTCTCTGGGTGCTAGAGATGAGAACTCAGGTCTTTGTGCTGTGCAGCAAGCACTTTACCCTGGCCCCATTCTTCTGCTTCTTGCTAACCCACTTACAGCAAACGCAAACGAAGGGCTTTCTCCGTCGATAGTGAGCACGGAGCAAGCACGGATTTTCATGCATGAAGTTGAGAGAGAAGGAACAAGAAGAAAAACTCTAAGTAGACTCAAAGGCACCGGATACAGAAGGACACACGGCAGACACACTTCCCTGGTTTCAGGTAGTTATTCTGAATTATTTTTGCATTCACAGGTTGCTGACTCAGATCGACAGAGAACATGCGGTACGGTGTCTGCTTCCAGACTGAGTTAGGGTGGGGGTTATCAGGAAATCAAAATTATTAACTAGGATCGCCAATGACAGTAGGGAAAATATGCTCCCCAAATATAACCAGATGTGTGTTTCCACGTTCTCTGGGTAATGATGTTGACATTCACCAGCTAACTGTGACAGTTTTTGTTTTCTTCTTATTAATCGTATATACACAAACGGACACAAATATGTCTTCTTCAGGGTTTCTGTTGCTGCATTGAAACACCACGGCCAAACAGCAAGTTGGGGAGGAAAGGGTTATTCTACATACATTTCCTCATCGCTATTCATCACTGAAGGGAGTCGGGACAGGAACTCAAGCAGATCAGGAACCTGGAGGCAGAAGCTGTTGCAGAGACCACAGAGGGGTGCTGCATATTGACTTGCTTCTCCTGGCTTGCCCCACCCACCTTCTTATAGAACCCAGGACCACCAGCCCAGGGACGCCAACACCTACCATGGGCTGGGCCCTCCCCTGTTGATCACTAATAGAGAAAAGGCCTTACACCTGGATCTCAGGGAGGCGTTTCCTCTACTGAGGCTCCCTCCTCTCTGGTGACTCTAGATTTTGTCAAGTTGACATAAAACCAGCCAGTACTGTACGGTTGAAAAGCATATGATCCAATGGCACCTCATATGTTCACAACACAGAGCCACCACCTCCTCTGTGTAGGTCTATAGACCTCCTCATACACCAGTGGGCCTGCAAAGGACAATCTCCGTGCCAACATTCTTGTTCTGTTTTGTTTGGTTTTAGTAATCCTAGCTTGTAAGACTCATCATGGTTTTAATATGCATGTATCTGGTGACTGACAATGCCGAACATCTTATAGGCCATTTTTATACATCCATTTTTGGTAAATGTCTCTCAAGACCACTACCCAATTTTTAATTAAGTCATCTTTTCCTTTTTAAGTTCTGTTTTTCGTTTGTTTATTTATTGTGTGTGCACACATGTAGACATGTGTGTGCACACGCATGTGTGGCAGAGGACAACCTTCAGGAGATGGTTCTCTTCTTCCACTATCTGGGTGATGGGAATTGAACCCAGGTCCCCAGATTTGGCAGTGGTTCTCACCCTTCCTAACGCTGCACCCCTTTAATACAGTTCCTCATGTGGTGGTGACCCCCAACCATAAAATTATTTTGTTGCTACTTCATAACTGTAATTGTGCTACTGTTATGAACTGTAATGTAAATATCTGATACTCAGGATATCTGATATGAGACCCCATGTGAAAGGGTCACTTGATTCCCCTCAAAGGGGTCAAGACCCACCGGTTGAGAACCACTGCTTTATGGTATTTTTTTTTCTACTTTTTTTTGATTATTTTCACTCAGTACACTGAGTTTTCATTTAGATCAGTCTAACTCTTGGGTGAGCCTGTGTTTTCAATGGCTGCACCCGAGTGGTCAACCCTTGCCAGAGATGGCAGACCCTGCTTGGGCCACTAGGTACTGTCACCATGCTCCTGCTCCCCACGCTAGCCTAGAACAAGGGGTCTGTTGTCTTTAGCCCTTGGCCTCCTGGGGAGCCCAGCCCTGGGCCACCGCTGGAAAAGAAAGCACAGGCCAGGCCCAGTCCCCTCAGAGTCTGCCCTCTGCAATGGACCCCAGGTCCACGGGGCCTCTTTGGCTCAGCATCAGGCATGGCACGGAACACGTTTCCTCTGTAGGTTGCGGTACTTGACGATTGCCCCGTGAGATACAAGGACTCGCTCTTGTACCATTTTACTTCATCTCTCCTTGCCCCTTTCCGCACACGCCCCCACCGTCTAGGGTACGTGTCCACACATGCACACATAGCTGCATGCCTGAGAGTCACTCTGCATAACTGCTTTTAACTGTTGAACTTCCCAGGACAATGGGAACTGCTCCAGAGACAGAGGTGGGTGGGTGGGGTCCTTCTCTTTCTCTTCTAATTTTTTTTTTCTTGTTTGCAGGTGTCACCAAAGGTCATCTGGTCATCTCTAAAAGGCCACAGAATGACCCGAGGGAACAGACAATTGCACTCTTCTCCCGGCAAGCGCTCTGCTGTTCTCTGCACTGGATCTTAACTGCTGCCTCCAACCCCCACCCTGCTCCTGCACCCTGTCCCATGGTTCCACCAGGTCCTGTTCACTTTGGAGGACTCCTGGCCAGTTCGACACCATGTTACATAATCACCTGGCTGCTACCCACTTCATTCCCAGCGTTTGACAGCCTCATTTCCCAGTTATCTCTTTAATTCCTGCCTCACACCGGTGTCTGGAGGCCCTTGTGGACCTCAAACCAAATTCACGATTTCTGGATTTATTTCCCACCCATCAACCTGGATAAATACTTCTAATTTTAGACGGGAAGTTCTTCATTTCCCCCTTGAGAATATATTGTGCTTGGTTCATTTCCCTGAAAGGAAGGCCTTGGTGCTTTCTAAGAAGCTTTATAATAAAGAATTAAAATGGTAACTAGAAAACAAAGCAAAACAGCCCAGGAAATCCTCCGTGAGGAATTCCACGCAATCCCAATGGTCCTGACGCATTTCTGAGAACAGCCGGGCACCCGGAACCCACAGCGTGCAATCTGAGGGTGCTGGGAAGATGCCTTGGTGCCCCTTACAAGTTGGTTTTAATGAAAGTGCTGCAGGGGCTCTTTGGGTCAAACGCATAGGCAGAGGTCTCCTGAACTGTGGCAGGATGAAGGGAGTTTGTTGCTCAACCTACCTTATTATGAATTTCATTCTCTTTTCAGAAGGCATGTATCTGGCTCCTGCCAGGGCCACGGCTCATGCTGGGGGGGGGGGGGCTCACTAAGCACTCTGGGAAATCCCAAGGGAGTGTCATAAAATTCCACAGCCCAAGGAAAGGAGTGGATGATGTACTCTGGACCTTGCCCTCGTATGGGATCAGACATCAGGGACTTGAAAAGTGTGTTGAAGACACACACTGGTGATGGTTCCCATGGTGTGAAAGTCTTTGAACTGTGCACTTAGAACTGTCTGGGATGGAAGTCAGATACAGCGGAGCATATCTGTAATCCCAGACTAGGGCAGTAGATGCAAGAGGACCAGAAGATCAAGGTTCTCCACAGCTACATAAATAGTTCAAGGCCATCTTTTGCTACCCTGTCTACACACGATCAAAACAAATGTACAAAATACAATTGTCAGGGCTGATGAGGACACTGGTGGGGCTGAGGCGAAGCCTTATCTCATTGCTCATAGATAATAAGGGCCAACAAATCAATTCTCATGTTTCCATTAAAGAAATCCTGCAATTGGTCATCAAGGTAACTGAGTCAAGGCGAAAAAAAAAAAAAAACCACAATGGGAAGCTGTCTAACAGGAAACACGGGAGATGGTGCCCATCATACGATCCCATAGGAAGCCATAAGTGAGAAAATAGGTATGCAAACATGTGCACACATGTGTTTGGAACTTTCCAGAAGAGAATCTAATGAAATGGGCATCATGGTTACCTTATCTATCTTGAGATCTGTCATGTCACTTCAAAGTGAGCTGTGGGGAACTGGAGAGGTGGCTCAGCGATGAAGAACATGTACTGCTCTTCCAGAAGACCCCGGCTCCCTTCCCAGCACCCATGTCAGGCAGTTCCAATCCCCTGTAGCTCCAGCTGTGGAGAATCCAACGCCTTCCTCTCGTCTCTATAGGAACCCGCATTCATGTGCACACACATGTGAACATAATTAAAGGTAAAATTTAAAAAGTTTAAATGGTAAAAAGTAGAGCGGGTCGTGGCTTGCTTGTGACTGCTTGCCTAGCCTGGTGAAGGCCTTATTTCCTCAGGGAAATCAGACAAATGAAACCAATGGTGGACTTGGGGACAGAAGAGGACTATACGCTTGCCTGACGCTTTCCCTTCTCATAGTTTTTTGTTTGAAAAATCTTGTACAAGATATGCAAATAATTACAAAATTCTAAGTTTTTACAGCTCTTTTTCTGTTTTCTAGACTATTTCCACCAGGAAAAGGAAAGCAATAATAAATCAGATTTAGAAACAAGGACGTGATAGAACCCAGCTGCTAGGACCTGGTGGCCAACAGACTAGAGGACAATCCCAAGACCTCATGGCTTCAGGTTGCTGCTGTGTGGTTCCCACGCTGGGCAAGGCCAGGACACTTGACCCCCAACCAGCTGAATGCTGGCTCTTGTTTCCCCAAGGCCAAGGAATTTGCAGACACTCTCTTCTGGCTCCTCAGAGGGGTTGGGGAGCCCCCGGCAGGAGCTGTGACATTTATAACTGGAATTTCCATGTCCCCAACCCTCGCCTAGACCAGGGATGAATCATGGCTTCTTAGAATCGTGAAGCCATCTTGGAAACAGCTGCCAAAGAGCAAAAGCAGTTAAAAATAGCTCTCGCTCCTGAAAAATGAATCGCTTATTTTAAGAAGAAAGAGTGGCTTGAATCTATCCTGCTTGCGTCTTTATCTCCTGGGCATGGTGCCAGGGCATCCAAAAAAGGCCCGACTGTCAGATGGGAATGCCATCTGCAGTATATAGTAGTATGGGGCTGGCATCTCTGGGCCAGGGCCAAGGGGTGAGGTCTGAACCGTCCTCCTGAGACCTGCATCCCAGGAGGCCTGCACTGTGGAGTATGAAGTTCTGCTTCCCCAGAAGACCTGGCTTGCATTACTTTCTTGTGACCAAGCATCCAACAGAGTCCATCCGGGAACATCTGGCAGCTGGGGCATCTATCTGCACCAACGTGCTAGTGAGGAAGGAAAGAGAGACTCGGGCAGGAGTGGGACCAGGCTGTTGCCCGTAAGCCCAATGCCCATGATTTTATACCTGCCAGCTAATCTTTAAGTCTAGAAAGTTCCACAGTGCCCCTCAAATAGCACCACCAGGTGAGGACATTTCACATTCAAACACTTCAGACCACTGTTCCCTGCTGTGGGCACATAGGGTGGGCACAGTGGCCCAGAAACACGTAGTAGGTTTGCTCTCCACTGGACTGCGTTCTGTTCTTCAAGGGGAAGAGGGAAGCTAAGTTCCCCTGCTACAGATAAATGGCTGCTAATGCCCTGGCTCAGTCTGTCAGGAAGAAACTCCAGCTGGCATCAGGTGATGCCCCTTCCCACATCGTGTGTGTCCTTGCGTTGTGAGGCTCCGTAGCCAAGCCACAGTGGCAAAGATGGGTGTCAGGACTGATGTCAGTCCTGCTTACTGCATACAGTGGAGCATCCAGCCTAAACTGGACTATCAGGACTGTGACAGGAGCTGGGTGTCTTGGGAGGATGGGGAAGCACAGTGGGACTCAGTAGGGTCAGTGAAGTGAAGAAAAGGCCAAAGTGGGAAGAGTCCAGGTGAGCTTTATTGGAGCATCACAGCCTGGCTCCTGCCCTGAGGCCCC